AGGTGAGTGGATGTCTGGATGACTAAATGTTTTGTAACTATTGGGTTAAGCATGAGATTATAAATGTTATATGTGTTCATAATGATGTTTAAAAGAGTTTAAACATGTGATTAGTATTAACCAAGGTGATTAGGCTTATGTGAAATGAACTATTGATGTTATGCATGAAATGTGATATGAAAATGTTTATAAAAACATAGGTGATGTTTGAAGGATAAAAAGGGCATAAAATGGTTGTTTATAACTTAATACACGTTGTGATTAAGTTTGACACGAATTGGACTTGAAATGGCGGGTCAACGAAACGTTGACCGGTTGCCCAGGGGGCAACCGACACCGGTTATGGCTTGAACCGGCGCCGGTTTGCGTACGGGATTCACTGGTTAATTAAATTAATAGTGAACCGGCATCGATTCGGCCCAGATTTGCCCAACAAGTTATTTTTTATGTGTTTTGCATGGATGATTATGCTTAGGCCTTAAGACTTGGTTTAGTTTTGATCAATGATTATGACATAGACCCTATCTATCTAGTATGATATGTGGTAGATCATAGGTCGGGTGGAGTACCCAGGGATCAGGCATGTATTCTCAAAACTCGGTTATGTCGGGTGGAGTGCCCAAGGATCGGGCATGTATCCTCAAAACTCGGTTATGTCGGGTGGAGTACCCAAGGATCAGGCGTGTATCCTCAAAATTCAGTTATGTCGGGTGGAGTACCCAAGGATGAGGTGTGTATCCTCAAAACTCGGTTATGTCGGGTGGAGTACCCAAGGACCGGGCGTGTATCCTCAAAACTCGATAATGTAGGGTGGAGTACCCAAGGATCGGGATGTAGGGTGGAGTACCCAAGGATCGGGCGTGTATCCTCAAAACTCGGTTATGAAGGGTTGAGTACCCAAGGATCGGGTGTGTATCCTCAAAACTCATAGATTACAATTTAGTAATTCAGGACCGGGCGGTGTCTTTATGATATTTGATTTGGACCAGGAAGAGTCCTATACACTCATAGGTCTATGGGTGGGTTGAGATTTTAATGTCAAGGACATTGACCACAAGTATTTTCCCAAATAAACGATGACCTACGGGTCGGGTATTTCCAAGTGTATATCTATACTGATATGTATTTCATAACTCGGGAATCAGGACTATATGTGTATGTACCACCCTATGTTTGAGTCTTATACTTAAAACGTTACTTATGCTACATTTAGCCTACTGCTCGCTCGATATTCGCATACTGACCCCTTCGGCCCCCATCATTTCAGGTTGAAGCTAAAGCTTGCTATCCGCACCTTGCTCAGTGTAGTGATTCAAAGGAGGACGTGGTTCATGTTTCCTTCACTGTTTTAAACTACAAAATATGTTCATGGATACTTTGTAATGAATACATTTGTTTTGGGCCGGTGAGCCCACGTTTGACCATGTGTGACCCATTATTGATTATTGATTATTTCCGCTATTCATTCAATCCAAACTGTGATGTTGTTATGTATGTTTGCTTATTGAGTATGGTATGGACGGTCGTACGACGGTTGTACATGCGCTTAGATGCAGTCTGAGGCGTGACATTATTAGTTCAATATGATAATTACCATTTTAATTCAAATCTCTCTCCTTTCTAGCAAGTAGTTTGTTTTGACTAATTTGCTTGCGCTAGAAGGAAAGATACACTTCAAATAGTAGGTTAGTAGCTCTAACAAATTTTGGTTAGGGGCGGGTGGGGGGGGGGGGGGGACCACCCACTCTGACATTCAAAATTTTATATTATATATGTAATATTTTCATAAAGTGTTCATACTTTGATTAAATATATATGTTTTTGCCCCCTTAATTTTTATTTTTCAAAATTAATTCTCTCTCCGTCCGTTAAAACTTTGCCAAGTTTGACCGGCACATAGATTAATAAAGTAAAAAATGTGTGGTAAAGGTTTGTGGAGAGCATAGATAATTAACCGGAACCACAAATTTTTTACTTAAAAGGGAAAATGGCAAAAGTTAATGCAACAGCCTACAAAGAAATGTTGACAAAGTTTTAAGGGATGGAGGGAGTATAGTCTTACATAATATATATAATATGTAGTACTTAATAAGAGATTTAAAAGAATACACATCTAAAATAATTTATCATTACTTAAACAAATAAACAAATCTGTCAAAAAATAAAAATAAAAAAAGAATAGATCAACTCATTGTTTACGACTTAGGGTGCTAATAATCTTAGTTTTGTAATGTTTAATTATCTTTATTTGATAAATAGTATTCAATTTTGTAAAATATTAAGCGATATTAAATACGAGACACAGTAGTTAAATAATTTTTAGATCTGAATTCGAAATATAAATGTTTGTTGACATTAAATTACACAATTCGGTTACTTCGTACTTTTCTAAAATCAATTTATTGGACATATAATAAACTTTAACTTATTTCAGCATTAATACACATATAATAAGCATCATCTATATGAATTAGCAATATAATATTATTATAACAATAAACAATCTTATATGGAGTACATACTTTTGTAGTATTAAGAAAAATCTCCATGACTTACGAACAACCTTTTTGATAGACAAAATTTGCAATTCAAAGATCAATTATTATTCCGATAAGATTTATTTGGTTAAACAAAACACAAGCTATTTAAAAAGTATTGATGTATGTGTACTTTTTAAACTCTCTTTATTTCATATAACTTGATAAAATGTTATGTATTTTTTGTTTTCAAATAATTTTCCTTTAATTTGTACGCTTTAATGTATCAATACTTTTCTAGAACAATTCATTTATAAAATTTAAGTTATCTTTCCATCGTTTAAACTTAAAAGTATCATGTAATAATAGATTTAAATGTGATCATACATTGTTGCGTGATGAATTTTTTTGAATAAAAACTAGTGGAGATCACTCTCCTCTCTAGTAACTAGTAATTGGAATTCTCCTTTAGGAGAGATAGAGTGAGATGAAGAAATCAATATCATCATGCATACAAAGCACCACATAATCCTGCCATATTATATATAACAATTATTTACTTATTTTTATACCTTTTGTTTTTATTAGATTCTATTTTTGATTGCATATTGATATGGAAACAAAAATCCTTATAAATCCACCTTAATTAATTTGGTAAGCTTCAAATAAGTAAAATAATTTTTGGTTATCAAAGTGAAATTCTAATAACGTTTATTGATATGGAAACTAATTTATATTAGTTTACTACACCGAATTAAATAGAAATAAATATGCAAATTAGTTTACTTATTAATTTGACACCTATTAATAAATTAGTAAGCTTCAAATAAGTAAATAATTAAAAATGAAATTAAAAATTATAACCAACATAAAGTGTATATATATATAAAGTGTATATATATATATATATATATATATATATATATATATATATATATATATTCACAAGTAAATATGTTTAGCTTAGCCAAATAAGTAAATTTTTTTGGTTGTTTCTTTATTTTACACCTAACATTCAAATATGCCTTCACTTTTGAAATAGATTCCTAATCCAAATTAGAAAATCTTTATAGGTTTACGAATTCCTACTTTTATTTTAACAGAATGTTTTAAATTGGATTTATTTCAGTTCCAGATTAAATCAGATCAGATCAAACTTTAATATTTATAACAATAAGTCACATAAAAAAACATACATCTAATAGACCAAATTAATTCATACCAAATCAAACCCGAAATTTTAATTCAATTAAAAACGTTCTTATTAATGAGTAAACTGTAAGATCTAACAATTAAGAAATATCGAATTTTTTTATTATTGGGTTCATAACAATTATGTTTACTTGAGATGCTTATGTAGAAGACCAATTTAACTTTTTTTTTTCATATATTTTTTTCTTTGTTACACAAATGGAATATATTTCACATATATTTTTCATGATTCAGAAGATTCCACCTATTTAACCAGAATTCAATCAATTTCAACAAAATAAGTAAATTCTATTTACTTTAGTATTATAGAAATTACTCCAAATAGGACTAAAACTATGTCAAAAACTCAAAATAGGACTTACTATGTTTTTATTTTCGAAATAGGACCATATTAGTCCTATTGGAAACATAAATATTTTTTCATTCCATTCTTACCCTTCCTTTAAATATGAGTTAATTAAATGTTTAATTCATAATAAATTCGAAAAAAATCAAAAATTCGTATAAAAATAATTAAAAAGTTTATAAAATATTTATAAAATAAAAAATTAAAAAACATTTTTTTTTTAATTTTTAAGTTTTTTTAAAAAAAATAATAAAAAATAGTAAAACTCCATAAAAAAATAAAAAAAATATGGATACCTTTCCCACCGCCTGTACTACCTCCCTGCACCACCATCTTCGACCGGTGAAAAAATGCCATTTTTTCTAAAAACTGCCATTTTTTCTGAAAATGCCAAATCCATGGTATATTTCTCTTTGAGAATGCCAACATTTTCATTGTTTTCTACCATAAATATGGCATTCATAATGAACTTGGCATTTTTTCTTCCTGGTGACTGGAGGTGGTAGTGCAGAGGCGGCGTTGAATTTTATTTTGTTTTTTTGAGTTATTTTTTTAATTTTTTTGAAAATAAATAAATAAATTATTATTATCAAAATATTTTTATTAATTTTTTAGTATTTTTTACGAACTTTTATTATTTTTTATTATTTTATTATGAATTAAAATATTTCAATAGCTATAAGGGTATATTTGTTCAAGACACACATAATTAGTATGAAAACATAGTTTATTTTTTTATCCTATTTGTACAAAGTGAGTGACTTTTGGTTCTATTTTGATAATTAACCCTTAGTATTATCAAACAGACTCTATATTAGACTAAATTTATTTTTCTTTTAAATCACATTATATGTAATCCGATAGAAATTAAATTTCAAATTAGGTAAAATACATACTGCCCTTGAAAGCTAATGGTAGAATAAAATGAAAGAAAAGATGAAGTTTAATTGTTTGTAAGAAAGATGGATAGACTTAAAAAATCTCTGCATTTAAAAAATTTCTGGCCTCATGAAAAAATCGCACTTAGGATCCGTCGCTGTATGCCCCTAAAAATTTGCATGTGACCGGAACCGCTCAGTCGAGAATCAGAACTGATCATCCGGAAAGGAATAAAGCACTTGGGATTTCAATTGTGGATTAATCAATGGTGATGGTGCATTCTATCTGCAAATTATTATTGCTAAAGTTTCCGCTGACAAGCGGTCATATTGCTGTTACATCGTTCTCATCTTCCCTCGTTTGGCCCACCCGCCGCCGCGCCCTCTCATTCCTTTCATTCAACAATGCAACGCATGCGATGAGTTGGAAGGAAAGTAGGGAACGAGTTAGAGGAATTATGGCTATATTTTCAGCGGATTTCAGCACCGCCGCAACTTCCGCCGACGATAAGGCTATAGACGGCCGGGAGTACTTGAAGATGTCAGAGGAGCAGCTGCTGCGGCAATGCGAGATGAATACATTCAAGTCGTCGGGCCCGGGCGGACAACACCGTAACAAGAGAGAGTCTGCTGTGCGGCTCAAGCACCGCCCCACCGGTATTGTTGCACAAGTATATCATACTACTGAAATTTGTTGGTTTGATATGGTCTGATCAGGTCTAATTTGGTCTGGTATGATAGTCAGGTTTAGTGTGGGACTGAAAATAGTCCAAATAAAAGCATCTTTTGTTTTTCATTCCGTCCTAAAAAGTGAAATTCCTAGCCTTAGGCACGGCCTGCCCAAAAGCACTTTGACATGAGGTTAATCAGGATACCCAGTGTACTTTCATTCCAATAACATTGATAACATTGTATGATTCAGGGTAACCACGCCCACCTTTTTTTGTGGAACTGATGTAGTATTACTTTTAAAAATTTCCAATGGGACTAAAAAGACCATTAATCTTATCATTCGGCAGTATAGTGACCCACACTACCGTGACCTATACCACGGTGACCACCGTCTTGACTCTTGGGTGACCTATTTTTTCCTGTGATCAACTATTCTGGTGATAGTCACAATTACCCATTGCCCAATGGCAGTTACGCCACAAGTGATCACCGCCTGCCGCTAGTGATGCCAGTGACCCATGCCCTGCAGCTGCTGTATCCCACCATCACATCCTGCCTCCAAGCTGCCACATACTGCTACCACAACCCCGGAACTTGTCCCCACACCCTTCTCCAGGCCATGTCGTAACTCCCTCCCCTACCCCGTAAGTGGGGTAAAGGGGGTCGGATGTATGTAGTCTTACTCCTGTACTAAAGCACAAAGAGACGCTGTTTCTGGATAACCCGTAGTGAAAATCGCGTCGAGAATTTCATGGATTGACTGCTGCTTCATAACAAAGAAGCGCAACCAGTTTAGTAAGTCATTTTGCTTTATTCCATCATATTACCAAGACAAAAAATGGTGAGTTTTTGGCTCCATTGCAAATGATGAAGTTGAGGACGAGGATGCAACACGAGGACTTCCCAAGGGGTTACCCATCCTAATAATAATTTTGTCCAAACAAGCTTAACTTCGGAGTTCTGATGAGATCCAGTGCATTCGTTCTGACGGAAACGTGTCCCAACGCGCTGCCCCTTACCATAACTCCCGCCCCACACCCTACCATCATCGCCCACCCACCTAGTCGCTGCCAGCCCACCCATAGCCCACCCGGTAGCCCTTGTCATTGTCCCACCCATGACCTAGTCACCTCTTAGGAGCAGCCATTTCAATCGGAATCTCCTCCTAGCTTACTGGTTTATTTTGATCAGTCGAGGTCTAAATGGAAGCAATCAGAAAGGTCGAGAGAAGTAGGTGAAGGATCAATGTGCGAACCTTTGAATAGAAGGAGAAGAAGAGAATTGGGAGAAGGGACTCACCTGTGCGGCAGTGGCCTGAGATGGTGGAAGCAGTCTTGGAGGAGCAAGGGGGAGGGCTGCTGGCCGGGGAAGGGGAGAAGCATCGGGGTGCAGGAGAGCCGATAGAGGATGGTGAATTTAATGATATTTAAGTCATTTTGATTTTAAAGCGGTCTCTTCTTTGTCCAACTGAATATTGGTCCTCTTTTTGTCTAATCAAAACTTGTAGGTTTTATTTTTGTCATTGTTTCAACATATTACTCCATAAAAAACATCCATGAAATAACCGCATTTTTAAATAATATGCTACCAAAGAATCTTAGTCAGTCTCAAAAGGTGGTCTTTAACTTCAAAATTAGAGAACACAAACTTTAAGATTAGATTAGTCTGCTCAAACAGTCACCATGCATGTTGAATCGTCTCAGAACTGGAACCTCAAGTCTTAATATCAGCCTCTTAGTAGGATGGTTAATTCCCACCTAGCCATCATCTTTGTCTCTAATCGTAAGTACCTACTTGTATAATTCTCTAGGTGTAATGTTGCAATAGAGTTCTACGTGTCATTAACTTACTTTTCTTGTTCCTTCATTTTTCCCTATTGATATTTGTTCTTGCTATATAGGCTGCAGAAGATCGGTCTCAGCACATGAATCGCGCCTCGGCACTTAATCGATTGCGAGCTCAACTGGCTCTTAAAGGTTTGTGCCCTAAAATTTAGAAACTTTGTATTTGGTGCCCTAAAATTTTAGAAACTTTCCAATATAACATTAATTGTGGGGGAATTAGAGTTTGCACACCACCTTTTTGGAATCATTAGTATTTGCACACTGAAGTGCGTAGTTTAGGGGTCATACCATTTTGTCTTTGAAATTGAAGAATATCAATTTTTTTAGTTGCAAATGTGCAAACTGATAGAAGCAGGAGTAAAGAGGATGACAACAGAATTATTACTAAATTCTATGACCACGTGTACCAAAGGAGAAAGAAGAAGGACTTAGCTAAATAAGTAATTGAGTTGGCCAGTTAGTTAGCGGGTACCAAATGTTTGGGGAGGGAAAGTTTGTAAATAAATAGCAACAGGGAGGAATAGTTAGGCAGGCTGTTTGACGGTTAGAATTGGGTTTTGGAGAGCCTGGCACTCTCGAAATTGCCTAGACTAGTTCTCTGTAATCGCTGTTTGTGAATATTGAATAAAACCTTCAGTTTTTCTTGGTTTCATGTGTAAGAATTCTGTAGATTACCTTTCTCTATCATTGGTATCAGAGAACGTCGATCGCTTTGAGTATCCTGAATAACAGAGAAGATGGATAATCGAATGGATGAGATGGAACAAAATTTCACCGAGATGTGACGCAAGTACTGTTGGCGAAGAGTCGTGGTTATACCAGGAGGAGATCGCACATTGCGAAACACCGCCGAAAAAGTGAATCGGAAAGTCCAGCAGCTTCAGAAGATAGATCCAATCACTCTATCTCTAGTTCGGGCCGCGATAACAGTAGGAGACCTGTTTGTACTCGACGAAAGGTTGACCTACCGTTGTTTAACGGAGACAATGCGTACAACTGGATTGTACGAATGGAGAGATATTTTCGATTAAATCAAATATCGGAAGATGACGAGGTGGAGGTTGTTGTGGTCTCCATGGAGGAGCGTGCCCTAAATTGGTGATAGAGAGCGGGAATAGCATAGGGCGGGACCGGGCTTGGGCCCACCTCTGTGGGCCGGGTTAGGGCTGTCTTTATAGTTTATTTATTATTATTAAGTTAATGTTATGTTTTGGTTTGAGCCTTTTATTAGTACAGTACTTAGTAGAGTTAGTATGGGCCTAATTAGGATTTAATTAATTTGAGCTTGATTAGGGTTTCTTGTAGAAGGCTATTTATACCCCTCGTCAGGGTTCATTCTTATTATCTTGGAATAAAATTTGAGTTTAGCCTTTTGGCTCTGGGCAACGGTATTTTTATCGTTGATTATCTGGGCAACGGTTTACCCCGTTGATTTTATTTTTCTGTTACACAACAATTGGTCCGACATGCCGGATCCCATCCCGCCAAGATGACGAGAACACAGAACGATCGTTTGAGCGAACTGGAGGCCGAACAAACCCTAATTAAACAGAGGCTTGATGCGCAGGGACTAAAGAAAATGCGCAGGGACTGATGCTGGAACAACATGGAGCCCAGCTTTCGGAAATCGCAGCCTCCCTGGTAGCGATCACAAAGGCCATGGCGCTTGATCGCCAGAAAAGACACCGACATCAGCCAGCGGCAGCGGCTCTCCCGCGCATGTCGCTTCTGTGCACGCGATCGATGAAGGCTTGCGCAACACGACAACAACCTTGCTTCCCTGTGTGGATCGTTGCGCTTACCGCTACACTAAAAGCAATCGCTGATAGTGAAGCACGCTCCTCCCCCTTTATAGCACAAGCGAAGCGCCACGCGGTCCGATTGCACCGGCAGGCTGGCTGTTGCTGGCACTGCATACCCGCGGCCCAACAATCTCCCCCCCAGCACCTGACAGCCTACAACTGCGCAGCATGCTGTTGCCGGGGGTCGAACCCGTGACCTTGGCTCTGATACCACTTGTGGATCGTTGCGCTTACCGCTACACTAAAAGCAATCGCTGATAGTGAAGCACGCTCCTCCCCCTTTATAGCACAAGCGAAGCGCCACGCGGTCCGATTGCACCGGCAGGCTGGCTGTTGCTGGCACCGCATACCCGCGGCCCAACACCCTGGTTCGACGGTGCAGAACCGATCGGGTGGATAGCTAGGGCTGAACAACAGTTCGAAATTAATCAAACCCTACATGAGAGGAAACTGGCAGCAACTATGGTAGCCATGGAAGGGGCTGCTCTGTACTGGTTGACCTAGTTGAAGGCACGGAAACCGGGCCTGACTTGGGATGAATTCACAGATGCACCGGTGGTACGTTTTGATTCACGGTTCAAGGGCAACCGATTTGAACGGCTGTCCGGAGCCAAACAGTTGGGGACCATAGAAGCAGTGATGTCAATCGCGCGCTATAGCGGTGGAGCGGAGCGGAGGAGAGGTCTGGCGCTATTAGACCTCCCGTAGCGGAGCGTTTGGGGGTAGCAGACTTCGCGGGCGCTATAGCGGGGGCGCTATACAGGTAGAGGCGGATGCTATAGCGCCGCTTCTTGCGATCGAAGGTCTGTTAGGGTTTTATCTGCGACTCTGCGTTTATTTTTTGACTGCGGAAGGACAGGGGTAAAGTAGACTTTCAACACTGACTAGTAACCAACTTAAACCTTTTACACGTACGCAGAAGTTTAGAAACCCTTAAAACGGCTCCATGTTTTAATAATACGGAGTAAAAACAATAATCTTTATGCCTTCTCTTCTCTCTGCTCTGCGATGACCTCTGCTTCAACAAATTTTTCTGCTTCATCTTTTTCAAGAACGATCTGTGCTCCATCTTGTACAAGAATGACTCATGCTACACTCCTCTTTGTTTCTTTCCAGTGGTAGACTAATACACTTAATTTATCAAGGCTTAAACCAGGAACTTGTTTTTGATTCAATGTTTTCACTTAGATGTTTTAATCATTAAAAGTATGTTTTGCTCATGAAACTACGGAATATTTCCCAGTAATTTAGGATTTAAGAATTTTAAGATGTTTGCAACTTTAAATGGCATATATCATATTTTACTAATGTGTATGTAATGTAATTATATGTTTCTAGTTAATTATGTATTATACTTAAAAGTAGTCTGAATAGCGGTCATCCCGCTATCCGCTATACCGCTATAGCGTTTTCAAGGCTGGCCGCTCCGCTCCGCTATCTGGGATTGACAACACTGCATAGAAGAATACAATAACCTTTTTGTGCAGTTGGCCAGTCAGGTTCCTGGGCTGTCCTAGGATCATTATTTGGGGCATTTCATGAACGGGCTGAAGGGACCGATTCGGGGATCCTTACGATTGCTGCGGCCAAACAGCTTAGAGATTGCAATGCAATTGGCTAGAGACATTGAGGACAACTTGTCCTTTCAAGATGGAGACTGGGAAAGTCAACCCTTCGACACGAACTTGCATTCGAGAAGTTTTTTGCGCCCAAGTGGCAGTAACAGCACGACCATAGGTGGCAGCAGCTTAAGAGGATCGAATGGCAGCTTTCCTAAAGACATTGGGCAGCCTCCGGGGACAAAGTCAGGGCTGTCCGGGCAGCCCACGACACGCTCTCAGTTCACTCGACTTCCGCCGAAGAAGTTTGCAGAATTGCGGGCGAAAGGATTATGCTTTAGGTGTAAGAAACCATTTACACCGAGGCATGAGTGTCCCTTTAAGCAGCTGCGGGTAATGATAGCCGAGGAGTATGAAGAGTTGGACCTCCAACAACATGAGTACTGTGAAATAACCGGCCAGGAAAGGGTTCAGGAAAGAGAGGAAGGATATTTTCCAGTTTATTCTATGTCTGGAAATTTCAGTTCCTCGTCTGTGAGATTTCAACCTTGAGGACAAGGTTAATTTGAAGGAGGATGGATTGATAGAGAGCAGGAAGATCATGGGGCGGGACCGGGCTTGGGCCCACTTCCGTGGGCCGGGTTAGGGCTGTCTTTATACTTTATTTATTACGGAGTATTATTAAGTTAATGTTATGTTTTGGTTTGGGCCTTTTATTAGTAGAGTACTTAGTAGAGTTAGTATGGGCCTAATTAGGATTTAATTAATTTGGGCTTGATTAGGGTTTTTTGTAGAAGGCTATTTATACCCCTCATCAGGGTTCATTCTTATTATCTTGGAATAAAATTGGATTTTAGCCTTTTGGCTCTGGGCAACGGTATTTTTATCGTTGATTATCTGGGCAACGGTTTACCCCGTTGATTTTATTTTTCTGTTACACAGCAATTGGTTCCAATGGTGGGAACGCCAGACAATGGGAAGCGTTGAAAGAATCTCTAATTCGTCGCTTCCAACCTGAGCTGGTTCAAAATCCATATGGTCCAATGCTGAGTTTGAAACAGAAGGGTACGGTAAAGGAGTACAGAGACCAGTTTGAAATGGTGATCGCACCTCAGAAAAGAATTGATAAAGGGATTCTTAGGGAAATCTTTATCAATGGTTTGAGGGAAGAAATCAAGGCTGATCTCAAGCTCTATAATTCCAGATCTCTCTCTGAGATAATGGACTGAGCTTTACTAATTGAGGAAAGGAACAACGCTCTGCGGACTCGAAGAAATAAGGATGATGAAAGAAGAGTCTGGAAGGAAAAAGGAGGTGACATTCCTAGTTTCCAGAAAGGGGGAGAAACGAGTCGTTGGAAGAACAGTAGTGCATTACCAACTTATTTGGGAAGAACTTCTACTGATAATAAACAAACTGAGAGTTCAAGAAGTGAAAAGAAAACGAGGCCTGCATTATCACAAGAAGTATTTCAGGAGAGAAGCAGGAAGGGGTTATGTTTTAAGTGTGGAGATAAATGGAATAAAGAACACATATGTAGAATGAAGAACTACAAATATGTTCTTATGGAGGATTCTGAAGAGGATGAAGAATCTGAATCTGTCAGGATGGATACAAAAGAGGAAGAAGAAATTGAAATGGAATAAAAAATGATGCAGTTATCCTTAATGAGTAAGGAAGGGATTCCAACAATGAAACCTTCAAGGTGCATGGAATATTGAAGTGGGAATCTGGAGAACAGAGGGTTGAGGTCCTTATTGATAGTGGTGCA